CTCTCTCTCTCTCTCTCTCTCTCTCTCTCTCTCTCTCTCTCTCTCTCTCTCCTAGCTCTCCTTCTCCCTCTCTATTCTCTCTCTTTATCTTTCTCGCCCGCTCCCACCACCCTCTCTCTCGTCCCATACCGGCTGAAAGTCACCTTGTTACATTTTTCTCAACAACTACAAAAAATTGTCAGTGAAACAGGTTTGCTCATTTCGAAGTTGTATTTAACTTAAGCAAGTGTGAAGGCCTGAAAGCTTGAAACCTTTCACCCTGCTTAATAACTCCCAGCATATTTCCGCAAAATTAGTTTATGGCGCCGGCGGACTTTTAACCCCGACAACACTATCCAGACACGTGGGGCTGATAACAAAGGTAAACGTAAGAATGTCCAAGAAGCTGAATCATACTTAAAACAAGAGAGGCAACCAATAAACTAAGATTAATAATTCTTTATGACTAGCAGAATTATCTCCCTGGAACAGGACTGTTCGTGACGTCTTAGAGTACCTAAAGAAAGGATTATAACATGTCTCTGCCAATACGAAATGTATAATACGTATAGAGTTATCTCCTTTTGACTATCGTGTACATCTTGGAGGAACTATAATAATAATAGTTACTCCAAGGTGTACATCTATGATAATACGCAGCCTACATGTATCGGTACTAGATCTAGCAAAGAATGGCGGTAACAGAATCGCATTATTCATAGATTTCCCAATGCTTCGCCGAAGAAAGGGGGAATTTGACAGGGTGAAAAACGACAAATAAATGGAAGTTGTTATGGGATTCTCTGGATTCTGGAGAAAGAATTAGAAAAGCACTTTTGGGGGGACCCTGCCCAATTCTATCATCGGGCGCTTTTGTGTTTAGTAGTAAAAACAAATTGTGCAGTATTTTGGATTTTGAAATTAGCTGTTAGTCTTAGAGAGTAAACACACATAAGAGAATGTTTTGTATAAATAAATGAATGGATAAATAAATAAATAAATATGTTACTTCACACTTATATATACATGTCTATAACGTCTATTGGTAACCTGCACATATGTGTTGCTATAGCCCCAATCTGGAGATGGTTACGACTACAGGTTAGTATCTAATTATTTAGATCATGTTAGTCCTACATTCCTCAGCTCTTTCGAGTCACGAGGTGGGCACCCTATCCCCCGCTCCCTGATGGGGTCATCTTTGTAATGTCACCGAAAGTTTGCCCGAAGTACAATACTATGGTGGTGACTATTAGTTTTTCATCTAGTACCTATAAACTACTGGGCCAAGACGCGTAGTTAGAGGGGGAACTGATAGAGATCCAAATTTTGCTTTTATGGGGGTTGTGTTTTTGCGTTTGCATCTGTATGTTAAGTCTTTTCTTAATATGTGTGCACTTACGTCGTTTTTAGTCGGACATATACCGTGTTTAATATGTTTTTATCTCATCGATTGTTTTCAACCGGATTGCTTATTGAAAATATTAAGTACCAGGACTTGTGGGTTGACCTGTTGGACGACTCACCGTCCCAGGGCAAGTGGAGTCATCACAAAACAATGAAACAACTTATTTACCCTGGGTAAACCCCCCATACTTCCTTATAACAGTTACAGCCCTCCCCAGTTCAATTTTGCATGCTACCTGTAAACACACACATTAAAAAAAAAAAAAAAAAATAATAGTAATCTTAATTAATACTTTTAATAATATAACATTTTTAACACCGCAAATAAAAATAAGACAAATAATTATAATAATATTAATAATAATAATAATAATAATAATAATAATAATAACAACAATAATAAAAATAATAATAATAATAATAATAATAATAATACATAACGAATAAAATGACGTCTGATTTGTTGGGCAATCGAAAACTAGCTACAGCACGGATTTGTAACGTTTTCCCATTATTGACAACGTATATATATATATATATATATATATATATATATATATATATATATATATATATATATATATATATATATATATATATATATATATATATATATGCGTGTGTATTTGAAATGCGGGTGAGCAACAGACAGTTGAGGATAGTTAAAAGGACCTGAGTTAAGGATGCAGTGGGAGGGATTATATCAAGTAGAAAAGCACTTAAATTGCTACCAATAATAAGGCCACATTATATTGCGCAGGAAGCTACAGCGAGGGCACAGCAAGTTTAGGTTTAGATATTTTCGGCACCTGCAACACAATAAGTTCATATAAAAACAAAACAAAACAAAAACAAAAAAGAAAAAAGAAGGTGGCGAAGTAAGGACTATATATATTTGGTAGGAAAGAAATAAGGAGAAAATCACACCAGATCACCCGCCAACCACCCACAAAGGGCACTGCAGCTGCAGGTCTTCGACCAACTTGTTCTTGAAAGTGAAGGGGACTCAGATCAGGAAACCCAATTTTTTAATGTAGTCCCGAAGAAGCTACGATGTAACTTCTGCGTTCCCAACACAAAGTGTTGCAGAGAGGGCTATTATAGATTCTTGAACTAAAACTAAATCTTTCTCTGACTGGTAAGTAGGTCTACTTGCATGCCACAGAATTGTGCATAAGGGGAGCAGTGCTATTATAAAGGAAACGAAAAGATGATGCGAGGCAAATCTGCTCTATCTCTGTAGCCTTCCCAAAGACATTTGAACGCACAAAAAATAGTCATGGGAGATATGAAGAGAAGAACCAACTGGTAACTTAGTTCACTTGCACAAGAGAATAATCCAAATAAAGCAATTGAGTGTACCAAAATTCAAGCGTTTCATGGAGTCAATTGTACGAAAGAAACTGACAGTTTTTTCTCTCGCAAAAAAAAAGGGCTAAAATAACTCGTTTATGTTATGATCCTGGGGTGACGACATGCCTACATATCATACTATTTTATTGGAGGGGACTGATTTCTGGGTGAGTATAATTGCAAGACAATATAGGATATATCCACGGAAAAACAAACAACCCCCCCCCCCAAAAAAAAAAAAAAAAATTTAAAAATTTTAAATCCCCAATTTCATGTTTTAGTTTTAGAACGGCACTTGCAACACTATACTATATATAAAAAAAAGGATCATTTATAGGTGCCGAAGATTAATGTGTTACAAGAGAGTAACAAACACAAAAAAGGAGGAGATAATATATAGAGAACGATAGATGTTTGAACAGAATGAAAATGAAGAAGAAGAAGAAGAAGAAGAAGAAGAAGAAGAAGAAGAAGAAGAGGAGGAGGAGGAGGAGGAGGAGGAGGAGGAGGAGGAGGAGGAGGAGGAGGAGGTGGAAGAGAAAGAAGGAGAAGAGAAGAAGAAGAAAAGCAACAACAAGAACCGCACAACAACAACAAATATCAGCAACTGCGAATTAGGTCTGCTACTAATTCAGTTAACCGGGTTAGAGTTCAAGTCGAAAGGGTTCGAATCGAAAGTAGTAATGCCTGATGCAATGAAAGAAAACCGGAAGTTAACGTGTAAGTTTAGAAAAGCACACCCGGAAGTGTATTTTCAGCCAATAACGTATCGCCACGGTCGGCACTCCGCTATTTACCGGCGACTTGAAACAATCGTCAGGGCTGATCACGTATCAGGACTTTCCAATATTGGTCTTTGGTCTAATTCGATTTCTTGAATTGATCTTTGTTTACGGTAAGCAAAGTGTGTATTGTATCTGTAACACTAGTTCATGAAATGTGTTTTTGATCGTAGTGAATCGATGACTGTGTGTAAACACTCTGCCAAGGTTTTTTGTATCTTTGTCTTCACCAGTCTTCACTCACCATTAACAAAAAATAAGTAACCGCACATGTGTGGTCCACTCCACACTCACAACACTAACACCAAAGACTAGATTCTAGTTAGAGTCTAGATTCTCTGCCGGTAGATCTCTAGATAGATATAGATTCCTGATTCATACCATTTTCTTTTCTAGATGTAGAGTCTAGAGATCTATTTTGCTGTTGGAAGTCGTTATCCTCACCCGGGGCCGGGGTGAGAATAAAAATACCAACCTCACCCCACCCCGAGACTTGCCAGCGTTGGCTGGATATTCTCACCCGATGTGAAACTCTACCTGTTTTTCCTTTTGGAATCTACTGGGTAAATTTTTACTATTACTACCACACGCACAGATGCACTGCTTCAGGGGTCAAACTGCAGTACTCCTGTTTGCTTCAGATCACAAATACAGCCACTAAAACTGTCGCAAATCAATTATTTTCAAGAAAATTTCAAAGTCAAATGTAACTAAAATATCAAATTATGAGTTAAAACAGCGGGGCATGCCCCCCTGTAACCCCCCCCCCCCAGATTTTCTTTTACCTCAGGGGGGCCCTGAGGCTAGCCCCCCCTGGAACCCCCCGATTGGTCCAAAGTCCAAAGCACGTCTATCTCGATTAAGAACAGTCAAATATTTCAAAAACTATTAATTTGCGACGGAAATGAAGTTGATATTCGTGTTCAGCGCATCAATATTTAGTAGAAAATGGACAACTGGTAGTTAAGTGTGAGACGGGAGGGAAAGTAAAAAAATACCATCTACTATCGGTGTGGTTTAGTTTAGTGTGGATGATCAAATTGACAAAAAAGCAAAGAGAAACAATGACGTCCGTTATAGCACTAAAGTAAGCTAATTTGATCGTCTGCAGAGATGCTCTTTGCTATTTAACTTTTCGAATCGAGCCTAACTACACGCGGATCGCCATTTCGTTTTGCCCGGAAGTTCTCGCACTACTCCTCTTCAAGACAGGCTCTTCCCCCCCTCCCCCCCCTCCCCCCTTCTCTCCACTGCCCACAGACAAAATTGCATGCTTTTTTAACTCAAGAAGTGTGCTGGAACGTTTGTTCATGGCACAGAACTTTACACTTCTGTTATCATAGTGTAGAATTCTGTGGTTCAGGGTGAACACTACACTGGTTGGCTTAGGCTATCACGGTGAACGCACATTGGGTGAGAATAGCCAAAAGGCTCGCCTGCGCTATTCTCAACCGGGGTGAGAATAGAGGTAGCCTTTGCTGTTTGGACAGTTTGTTTTGTCGTCTTTGAGAGGTTGAAAACATGATGTCGTGATGAGCATGGCATGGTGGAACATCGTTGAAATGAATGTAAGTTTGACAAGCGGATAGCCGATAGAGCGAGAACGACAACCAAACACCATTGGCCGATGATATAGCCATCTTGTTTGACCTGGCAAGGGGGATGCCTGAACAGCCATCTGATCGTGATTCTAATACTAGATCTAGATTAATAGATCTAGATCTAGTTCTACACAAAATCTAGATCTAGTGCTGATTCTGGGTAGCACGCGGTTTGCACACTGGCAGTTCCCAAGCTCCTTCCCCTTATAAGTTTTACTCCATTTGCAGCTCAGCGTCCTATTGAGTCCTCTCTTGTTGTTCTTAGTGCTTAATTTCTTGAGCTTACTAAAATTAAAAAGAGGCGATCCGGATCAAAACAGTCGATCATTTGCACTGCGTCATTGAACTTTGCTTGAAATTGCTTTCGTATCCAAAGTGACGAAGGCCTAGAGGCACCTTAGACTGTCTTAGTCTTCTTGTTCTTTTCAGTTTACGTAGTGTACAGCATCAGAATCAATCTGGGCGGAAGAAGGGTGCTGCACAATTACAGACATCCGAACCGAACAGTTCTACAAAGAAAACTGTCAAACCAGTGTGTAAAACAGCCACCCATTGGGGTATGGAGAAAAATGGCCGTATAACACAGGTGGCCGTCTTAGGCAGGACTGAAGAAAGCAAACTCTTCGGAGGTCTAAACCAGGGCTGAATTCTGACTTTAGATTGCCATGGATAATTCAAAAGGGTTTTTGTTTTCTTTTGAAAAAGGGGTGGGTAGTGTAAAAAAGTTTTTTTGTATTGCTGTTTTCTTGGCTTTTCTTTGGTTTTTGGTTAGCTTTCTTTTTGTTGCTGATATTGTGCGAGGGTAAAATAAACAAAAAATGATGTAAGTAGTAAGACAATGAAGGCCGAGTGCCTTTGTAAAACAAACACAGGAGTCGCCACCACAGGGAGAACAAGCGACAATTCTATTGCAAGTTCACGTCAACAACAATGTCCATCGTTACTTTGTTACAGATTAGGTAAACAAAACAGTGAACAGTCACCTCACGCATGATTCGTGCATGAGTTGTGGGCAGGCTTTTATAGGTTATGTCATGGATCACGCTACCCTTTGGTCAACTTGGGTAAACATTCATTGGAGGGACTAACAATAACGACAGGTGAATGAATTATGACGGCCCGTCCGCAGCGTGAGGGGCTGATTCAAAATTTTGGACAAAGTGTTAATGAGTGACCACGCCTGGCCGCCTGAGGCTGGTAAATTTGGCTGTAGGTTGATAAAAATAAGGTGGAACAAGTGCCAACTGTTGCTCTGTTGAGAGGTTCTTGAATCCCATAGAATTAGGAAATTTTGATAGAGATCCAATCGCTTTTTTATTTCTATCAGCCTCTCGAAATCCATAAAAGGTCGTATTCATTTTGATCTATATTCTTCCATTGGCTAGTTAACACATTGATCCGATGTTAACTTTGCAATCTCATTTGACTCGTGCTACAACTAGCCTTGTGATTGGGGCTGTACTCACTCGAAGACTTAAAACGTACATTTGATTCAGGATTTGATGTTTTTATGACGAAATGGTGGCTTTTGACCTTGTATGGAGGAAATTCTGGCAGGCCCTGACCCAATTAGATGTGTACTGGGTATCACGTTTAACATTAAAATTACAGTTTAGGAATACAAGTGAAAAACTTATTAGTTTAAAAGTATAATTTATTTGATTAGTGTGAATATTGAACATTTTTGTTAAAAGAATTTATGTTGAAGTGTTTGATGTCTTTCAAAGGTATGCCATGATGACTAGTCCTTTGTAAAAACGTTTTATAACAGAGGACGGGTTGTTTACATGATATTTATTATTTGCAGTCTCTTTATATTTTCAATTTTGTCTTTTTTTCTCCTCAGAGGAAACCCAGCAAACACAGTGCATTGGGGTCTACGAAAATTAACAACATGAAGCTTTCAAGCTGCAGAAAAGGACTCTGTGTCCTTGCTGTAGTGACAACTCTTTTTAGTTTTACCTCTGGTAAGTGTTTCCTGTGAAATGTTTTCAGTGTATTAAAATGTTGGGATAAAAGAAAGTTAGAAAGTCTTTGAATACCTTTGTGGCATGGAAGGAAAGAAAAAGAATGTTTTTGCTTTAGAAACAATTTTTAAAAATATAAGTGTAGTGAAATAGGAAAATGCTAGCTCTTAAGCTGTTTTATTAAGTAAATCAAGTTTTGGTTTAATTATATTTTTTTAATGATTAATTTAAAATGATTTGTGTAGTTTGCATACCCGCATACCCTTCCCCTTTTTTTTCTTCACAAATTAGATTTTTGTTTACTTGTTCTCTTTAGCTTTTACTGTGATTGAAAGATGTATGTTTAGAAGTCACAAGTGTGTGTATCAGTTTTTAATTGATTTTGGTATTTAAAACATTTTCTGAATTTTCACAGCCCGTCTTGCTGTGATGTCTGTAGATCTCGGAGGAGAGTTCATGAAGATTGCCATTGTAAAGGTAAGTTCTTATTTTAAAGCTTTTAGATAAAATGGCCTGCTGCATCTTGTTTTTTACTTGTCTCATAGAGAAAAATGGACAGAAGTTGTACAGGCTCTCTTTAATTTCCAAAGACTGGAGCTACTTTCTTCAAAGGTTTCAAGCTCTGCTTTGGCTTCTTTCAGGATAGCATTTGATTTCCAAATCAAAGTGAAGTTTTTACTTGGAACTACTGGCGCTCCAACTTGAAGCTAAGTTTCTACTTTTCCTCACGTTAAATATTTGTCACGCCTTTAAAAAAAAAGTTCCCCTAATTTTTTTCCTAGAACACTGTTGTACTGTTATTTCCTGAGAAAAAGATTAAAAACATAATGATTAACTGTTTTTATATGACAAGGGCAGAGTACTGTTACTTTGCATTTTTTGATTTAATATCTTTTCTCCCCCCCCCCGCCTCCACCCCACCCTTCTGCTGTTTAGCCTGGTGTTCCAATGGAGACAGTCCTGAACAAGTAAGTTCTCTCATGATGAAGTGCCAGGTCTGCAACAGACATCGGCGATCATAGTTCACTATTATTTCTTTGCTTGGATGCTTTAAAAAACAAGTTCTCTATTTGAAAAAAAAAAAAAGAATCTGTGCTCCTCCTTCTTTTCCAAGTTTCTGACAAACTGATGCTTGTGAAATGCCTTGTTAAGAGAAACTCGCTTTCTTAAAAAAGTTGTACCGTTTTAATCTATTTCATGGTATTTTTTAATGATTTTCTTTTTGGATAAATACTTTATGAACCTTAAGTTTCCACTGACACTGTTTTCTTTTTTTTTTTTTTTTTTTTGTCTCCGTCATTAAAAGTTGTTGATTATGTACTTTTGTAAATTTGAGAGGTTGAGGTCTTGTTTTTTTTACCTGTGATGGACCTGTTTTCTTGATTGGTAGTTGTGTTTTTAAGTTATTTTTCCCCCCAAAGTTTAGTTTTCCTGCAGTCTTTTTTATTTTTTAAAAATTAATGCATGAATTAACACAATACAAATTTGCCTGTGATATTTTTTCCTTTTATGTATTCAATTTTTATTTCATTTCTTTCTAAATTAGAGAGTCAAGTCGAAAAACTCCCACCATGGTAGCATTTCGAGATGGAGAAAGACACTTTGCCAGCCAGGCTCAAACTACTGTGAGTTTCTAAACTGATTGGTAATGTTTTGATAACCCAATTGATATGGTTTAGATGTTTTTAAAAATTTTTTAAAAATTAATGATTGGTTATTTCATTCCAAGCATAGTGTGATACACCATTTTAGGTGAAAGGTGGGAGATACTTGATACAATATGTGAGGCAGCGTGGTGGAATCAGGCTCTCGTCAAAATAATCAAAGTGAAGAAACTTGCATTTTTCCGCAGGTTTATCAAATATTTGTTTTTTGGCTCAACACCTTTCATGCCCATTAAAGAACTAATTTCTGTTTGGATTTTTCCCAAAAACGTTGATTAAAGGCACAAAAAATGTAAACCTTCTGTTACCACGGACTCTTAAGCTAAGGAAATATCCAATCTTTGGCAGTCATTTTCTCACTAATTTTACCATTGAAAACAGGTGACCCCACCTCTTTCTTTCACAAATATCTTGACTTCCATTCAAGATAAATGGATATTTTTTTTCATCCAAATAAAGACAAATAAACAAGCTTTAAGGTGATACCAATAACTCTACATGCCCAAAAATTGACGAGAGCCTGATTCCACCATGCTGCCTCACATATGCACTTTCCTTAATGGAATTGAATTCACTGCAATTTTTATATACGTGATACTTTTTTGCTGCTGCTGCTGTTGATGATGAGGATAATGATGATAGTTTTAGTTTTAGTAGAGGTTTTATGGCACTCGCATCTGCATAAGGTCTTATGAGCGCCAGAAGATTGGAGGTGTTACAAGTAACAAACATAAAAAAGAAGAAGGGGAGATAAGGAGGATAGATGTTTAATAGGAAAGAAGAAGGAAACCACACCAGAGCACCCGCCAACCACCCACTAATAATGATAGTGATTCTTGATATCTATGTGTGAAATAAAACAGCTGTGGTCTTTCTATACTTCTATCACAGTTGACAATCCAATTGTTCTGGCAATAATTTATGGTGATGCTTGTCCTCAGGGTTTTTTTTTAGCTTTTTAAGGAGCTTCTTTTTGACTTCTCCACCCCCTTTGTCGTGTCGTATGTATATTGGAAACAGATGTGGGTGGTTAGCGGGTGCTCTGGTGTGGTTTTCTCTTTCTTTCCTATCAGCATCTGTCATCCTTATTGCTGATCCTTCTTTTTTGTGTTTGTTACTCTCTTGTAACACCTCTAATATTTTGCTCTTATGTGACCTTATTGTATAATAAAGCATAAAACAAAGGAGACGGGATGTTAAATCAGAGGTCATTGTTCTTAGATAAAGTTACTTTTATCCGTTTAACAATAAATGTCCTTAAGGAGGCTCCTGTGGCCTAGAGGTTAAGGTGTTCGCCTCTCATTCAAAGGTCCCGGGTTTGAATTCGGGTAGCAACGGAAGAATTTTCTTCTCTAAAATTGTCTCCTATCGCCTCCTTTCCTGCTCTCTAGCCATGTTTTGTCGTCTGCTTTCGTCTCCACTTTCTGCCCCCACCCTCCGTTACCCCCTCCTCTGGGCTCTTGACTCTTTCTGCAGCTTTTCTACTCCTACTCCTTGGCTCCTTCTTACTGCTGTCTTTCAGCCACACCTCTGATCTTCTGGTAGGAAAGATCTACACCTAGCCTCCTCAGACAATGGCGAAAAATCTCTGAGGTCACATGTGCAAGTTGCGCTTGTTAAAGATCTCTTGGTCGTCGATAAAAGTAGGCTTCGGCTGCCACCCGGGCGAAATTCAAAATTTCCTAAAATGTTTGGTGTGTCCCACATGCTCATTTGACCATATGAAGTTCCGAGTGCCGTAAAGCACTTACCACAAAGACGTCCAAAAAATGTCCTTAAATCTCTCCTTGAGGGATCCTCTTTCGATGTACTTTTTTTGGTCCCATCATTTGTTAAACTCTTCCAACTATACAAAGTACACACCTATATATGCTTACCTCATTACAGGCTTTTATGTCCTTCCTCTTCTGTTGGCTGTTTTCATTTTCATGATTATATGGAATTTCTGTTTCCATTTTTGACATAATTTTTCTTATTCTCATGTGTTTTTTATGCATTGTAATGTGTGTTCCTGTGGTATGATTTCTGGTGCAATAATAGCTATAGTCTCTCAGTGTGTGTACAAAGAAGGATCTGTGCCTGAATTATGCAGTTTCTAGACATGTTGAGGCTTTTATAAAACAACTTTTGTGATTTTTTTTTTCCCCATGCTGCTTTGTTTGACAATGAAACTTTTGTTTAGTGGGTGGTAGGCGGGTGCTCTGGTGTGGTTTGTTTCTTTTTTTCCTATCAAACATCTATCGTTTTGATCTCTTTCTTGTGTTTGTTACTCTCTTGTAACACGTCTAATCTTCGGCTTTTATATGGCCTCTATTGTGTTGCAAGTGCCGTAATTTGTAAAACACTTACTAAATAAAACTTTTGTTCCTACACAGGCTATCAAGTTCCCTCCCAAAGCCTTTTTCTACCTGGGTCAGATTGTTGGCCGCAGTTACGACGACCCTCAGGTAGAGCTGTACAGGAAGAGGTTCCCGTTCTACAACTTGCTCAAGGATGAGGAGAGGGGCACAGTGCTCTTCAAGATTGATGAGTAAGAATCTTTAGAAACTTCAGCATTCTTTCTAGTAATAACTTTTTTTTTTCTCTCTTCCTCTATCAGAAATCATGTTGTCTCTGAAAATGGCCGTGTTTTTGGTTTTGTTTTAATTTCTTTTGTTCCTTTTTTGGGGGGGTTTAGTTTTTCTTTAGATCTAAATCTCTTTGTCCAACTGCAGTGTATGTGGGTAGGTTTATGAGTTTGTCTGTGAGAACTTTCTTCTCTTCTTCTTTGCGTTCCCTTGTTAGGTCTGGGGGGTAGCTGACTGCTGGTTCTTCAACCTGCAGTGCCAATAATTTTTTTGTATGTGACTGTTTTTCCGTCTTTGTGGGGCCCATTGCTGTCAGGCAGCCACATTCTGGTTTCTCTATATTTTTTATACATATTTTCAGTTTTGGTAGGAATTAATTTTGAATTTTGCTCGGGTGATGGCTGAAGCGTAATCTTATCGATTTTAGGACCACTTAGTGACAGTGGGTTATTTAATGTGTGTAACTTGCACTTGGAACTGCAAAGATTTCTATCTGAAAAGGCTAGGTGTTAAGCTTACATCCGTAACTGAGGGGTGTGATTGAAAGACAGCAGTAAAAAGGACTCTTCTCTTCCTGTGGGAAGTTCAGAAATAAGCTATTTCAGGCAACTCTTTTGATGAATGTATAGAGCTTTCTGCATTCTACTTTTGTATATATGCTTCCTCAGTGACACCTCTTACAGCCCTGAGGAATTGTTGGGTATGATCTTGGAAAAGGCTAGAGAATATGCTCAAGAATTTGCTGGTAAGTGTTGCTGTAGGTTTTTGTATGATTTATCGAAACAAGGAAACAAAAACTGGTTTCTTCCAAGCGTCAATTGATGTGTGCATAATGTTTGTAGTTTTTTTTGTCATAAAGTAAAGGGTCCTTTTTTTTTTGCTGATGTTTTATTTACTGTTAGGTTTGTTTGTTTGTTTGTTTTCAAATTGTGTGTTATTTCTTTTTCGAGACCTAAATGATTGTCGAGTCAGTTACTCTTCTCTCTTCATTAGTGGTCTGCTTTTTCTACTGTTTTGGTTGCTATTTCTACTGATTGTTGGAGTGTATTTATTGTTGGTCCCACCACTTTGTTTTCCCTTTTGTAAGTTATTTCTGTCTTCTCCTCATGGGTGGTTGTAGGGTGCTCTGGTGTGGTTTGCTTTTTTTCTATCAAACATTTTTGTATCTTTTTCCTCCATTTCTGTGTTTGTTACTCTCTTGTAACACATCTATTCTTTGGCACTTATATGACCTTATTGTGTTGCAGGTGCCGTAAAACTCTTACTAAAACTTAACCATTATCTCTCCTTTTTTGTGTGTATTTGTTGCTCTCTTGTAACTCCTTGTGGTTATTATCACAATGCAGATGCCGATGCACTTTGACTTTACCCCTTTTGTGATTTTGTAGAGGTTGCTAACTACACCGTGCTATTTATTTGCTCAGAACAAGAGATCAAAGATGCTGTGATCACTGTGCCGGCGTTTTACAACCAGGCGGAACGCCGCGCTGTCATGGCGGCAGCCAACATGGTGGGCCTCAACGTGCTCCAGCTGATGAGCGATAACGCTGCCGGTGGGTTGGTGCTGATAGATCGTGGTCTTTGTCGTGGGAGTAGGCCTGCCTATATGCCAAGCGTTAAGATTAAATTATGAACTTCTAGATCTGGAACTAGATAAATCTATATTTTAATCTGTGGACAAAAAGATCTGTGTACTTTTTTTTGTTGCTTTTGTTTGTTTATTTTGTGGTGTAGTTCTTTCTTTAAGGCGCATGTGTACTTTACAGTATTCACTGGTAGTTTTTATTATTATTATTATTATTATTTATTTATTTATTATTATTATTGTCCATTATTAGCATCTTGTCATAGGTTTTCAATGTAGACCAAAAGAATGTGAATTTTCAGCTGTAAGGTGGATTCTCCCTCAAATTGAGAATTCATTTTATGCAACAGTTCTGTGTTATTAAGGCGGATGGTTGGAGGGCGCCTCTGGTAGGTCCTACTTCTTTACTTTCCCTCTGTTGTTTCTGTCTGTCTGTATGTCTTACTTTTTCCCAGCACTGAATTACCATTATTGTGTCGGTGTGCTTCTCTTTAATCAAAGAAAAAAGATATGTTATTAACCTCTGCGGTGTCATACTGACCTATTACATAATATGTTATAAATTTTTTTTTCTGGCTTATTTTGTTTTCAGTTGCTCTGAACTATGGTGTTTTCCGACGCAAGAATTTCAACAGCACCATGCAGTACTATATGTTCTATGACATGGGAGCTACCAGCACAACGGCTACCATCGTTGGTAAGTTGTTCTCATAAGGGCGCTTGTCTTGTGTTGCCCTGCTATGGGGATTGTTCACACCCAAAATTATGTGGGCTCCAGTGTCAAAATGATTACACAAATTCATGGGGTCCATTTTTTTGGATAAGTTCTATTTATTTAATGGTACCATAACTGACCTGAACACTGCTGTTGTTGTTTTTTTTTAATGGTTGTGTTATCTTTTTAAATGGTTTATTTAGTTTTTGTTTTGTTTTGTTTTCTACATTTTGGGGGGGATGGGGAGGGGACAATGAGAGTAATTGCTGTCTCAGTGGTTGATTTTTTGTGTTTTCTTTTTCTGTCTGAAGGGTACAACGTAGTGAAAACTAAAGAAGGTACCCTCCTGGAGTCTAACCCTCAGCTGACTGTCAAGGGAGTTGGGTGAGTATGTCGCTGGTTCAAAGGTCGTGGAAAATTTGCTTCATGCAGTCAGTCTTGTCTCTCTGCATGTCCACACAAACTGATGTGTAAAGCTCCACAAGAACTGACTTTGCTGACTGGCTTTTTTGTTTGGAGTCTTCAAGATTATAGATACCTCTTCTAGTTTCACTGAAACAGTTGCTTTGTGTTACATGATGAGTGTTGAGATCCAACTCCTACCACACTGTGAGGATTTCAGATTCTGAACAGGCAATATTGCTACTCATTATATCCAATTACCTGTAATCTGGGTTAAGATCTTAATTCAGTTTATTTTGTTGCGGTATTTGTTTATGTTTCTGTCTCTTGTGGCTTCGTAAATATGTCGATGCAGTGTTTTCCAGTTTGTGTCCATTGCATATTACTTCTTAGTGAATGTCTTGATACAAGCCTTGCTTTTTGTTTTTTTGTTTAAGAAAAATCTTTTGTTAGTGTAAACGCGAATTGTCATGTGGAAATTTGTTAGTAATGTTTGGGTAATGTTGTAATTTTTGCCACTGTGCAATTTATAGTTGATGAACATATATTATATCCTGTCTGTTTTGAAGAGCATCAGTGTGGGTGGTTGGAGGGCGCCACTGGTAGGTCCTTTTTCTTTACTTTCCCTTCTGTTATTTTTTTCTGTATGTCTTACTTTTTCTCAGCACTGGATGACCATTATTGCGTTTTATGGATGTGCTTCTCTTTATTCATACTCTAAAGTAAACTAATTGAATCTGCTGTTGTGTTGTGGAAACAGGTTTGACCGCACTCTGGGCGGGCTGGAGTTCACGCTGAGGCTGCGCTCGCACCTGGCCAAGGCCTTCAACAACCAGAAGAAAACGAAGACGCAGGTGGAGGAGAATAACCGAGCCATGGCCAAGCTGTTCAAAGAAGCGGAGCGAGTCAAGAAAGTCCTCAGCGCCAACAACGACCACACCGCTCAGGTCAATTTGAGTCTTTAAGAAAAAGCTTGTGCAGTCAAACTTTCTCTAATGGTTACTTGTACTTTTAAGTAAAGAGTAGCAAATCAGAATGAAAATTGCTAATAAATGTACAGAAAGAGAAAGACTGAAATAAATTGCAAAGGAAAAGCAAAGAGGTGAGACCTATAATAAACGCACTCCAAGTGCAGTCGAATCTTCGATGATGATCACCTGTACAAATGTGTGTGTGCCTGGAGAAAGGTCCCAGTTGTCGGCAAAGCTATTTTTGAGCAGCGGGTTGAAAAGGCCAAAAAAGTGATACCTGGTCACAAATTTGGTCCCATCAGGCATTTGTGTGTACTGATGGTCACTACCTATTTTCTCTTTTCACTTTTTCTTACATTATAATAATACTGCGTAAGACGTCCACATAAGACAACCATTTTTCTTCTTGGTATTGGGTGGCTGTCTTAAACACAAGTTTGATTGTATTTGTCTTCTTTTGATAATTCGGACTAACTCATATTGTACGTAACCATTGTGCTTTTCTTTACTCATAAGAAACTAAACTTAAGTCTCAGGTTACCTGTATAATTGTGTTGGTTGCCCTGTAAATATTGACAGGCAGGCCTGGCAACTGTCCGAATTTCTGGATACGCAAATAGGGAATTTGAGAGGATGTTTTTATCTCTCTACACCAAAAGTAATTCCACTTATGGAATTGTGTTTGTTGTTCCATAATTTGATTTTATAGCGTTGGTGGTCCCTGGTTAGAAAGCCGGGCCACTTATCTTTTTTGGGAGGGGGGGGTAAATGTTTTACTGTGCTCGCAACTGCATAATATGAGCGCACGGAATACATTAAACATTTTCAGTTGGTAGGGAATTTTGAATTTTGCCCAGTTGCTGGCTGAAGCCTACTCTTATCAATTTTTGGACATGTATCTATAGGCTACTATAGCAGATATATGTGCATGTGTATTTTACCCTCTAGCTGTCTGTTTCTTGAACTGGATTGATGGAAAATGTCATTCTGCATTGTTTGGATTGTTAGGGGACTCCACAATTTCAATTGTCCTTGATCTTGTAGGTGCTCTGGTCTGGTTTGCTCCTTCTTTTCTATCAAACATCTATTGTTTTTATCTCTCCTCCTCCTTCTTTTTTGTGTTTATTACTCTTGCAACATCTCTTATCTTCGGCACTTATATGACCTCATTGTGTTGCAAGTGCCGTAAAACTCTTAAAGTGGGTGGTTGGCGAGTGCTCTGGTGTGGTTTTCTTCTTCTTTCCTATCGAATGTAATCGTCCTTATCTCCCCTCCTTCTTTTTTATGTTTTTGTGCTACTCTCTTGTAACACCTCTAAACTTCTGGCGCTCATATGACCTTATGCAATTGTGAGCGCCGTGAAACTTTTACTAAAACAAGCAAAAACTCTGAAACAAAACTAAGTGGGTCGTTGGCAGGTGTTTTGTTGTGGTTTGCTCCTTTTTTCCTATCAAACATCTATCGTCCTTATATCTCTCCTCCTTTTTTGTGTATGTTACTGTCTTGTAAACATCTATTCTTCGGCTGTTGAGACTAGAGAGGTGAGCAGAGTAAGCCTGATTCCCCGTTTGGACTTCTCTGTTGACATCCACCCCTTGGCACTCATATGACCATATGCAGTTGCGAGCTCTGTGAAATCTTACTAAAATTAAACTAATCTATTCTTTGGCACTTATATGACCTTATTGTGTTGGAAGTGCCGTAAAACTCTTTGTAAAACTAAAACTAAACAAAACTAATACTAGATCTTATAGGTAGGCTTTGTGTCCTAATCAATGAATTCTCCAAAACGTGTTCAGGTGGAGGGTCTGTTGGAGGAGAAGGATTTCCGATCTCCCGTGACCCGGCCCGAGCTGGAGGAGATGTGCCAGGATCTGTTTGAGCGAGTCACCAAGCCTGTGGAGGAGGCGCTCAAGGTCTCCGAAATCACGCTGGTGAGTCGCTTTGTTGGCTGGTTTTTAAACCTTTCGTTGCCAGGGGGTATGCGTTCCTACTGTCAGCACTGATTATCAGCTGAGCTTGTTTCCCAGGACAGCAGCCTAATGTCTCAGTGTTAATGGAAGTGCAGTCTAGATCTAGCGCACTCATGATATATTTAGGACACCGGGTCTTTGATTGTCACTTTTCTTTCTCACTTTTGTTATTCCCCATTTCCTCCCATCTTACTCATAATTTCGAATAACCTGCACATCTAAGTCAAAGAGTGAATTTATTTTACTTTTTAAATTAATTTCTTGGAGGTTGGCGGGTGCTCTAGTTGGGTTTGCTCCTTCTTTCCTATCAAACATCTATCGTCCTTATCTCTACTCCTTTTTTGTGTTTGTTACTCTCTTGTAACACCTCTAATCGTCGGCACTTATATGACCGTATTGTGTTGCAAGTGCCGTAAAACCCTTACTAAAACTAAAAAATGTCATTTCGATGTTTACGTTTTACGAGAGCCTGCGGCCGCCTGCAAGCCTATGTCTGTGTTTATCGGTCCCCTTTGGTACGTCATAAGGCAAGGAAGGAGTTAATGCCATTAACCCAATGAATCCTTGGTTCCCAGGTGTACATCCACCCCGCAGCTCCCAAGCAAAATTCAAGAAAAACAGGCATGCTATTATTATTATGTTAGTATTCCTGCAAAAACATGAATGAAGTAATAACATTGTTCCTACCCTCCTATCTGCAATACTGCTGCTGGTGTGCCAATCTGTTTGTCTGTCTACTTCAGGGTAGGTGCGTGGTCTAAACAGGTCATCCCAAATCCTGAAATATCGGTGTCTTAGGGCATGGACCTTTTAGCTGCACCCCGATACAGCTAGGTCTCAGGTCATTGGGTTGACCCCTCAGTTCTGCGTTTTTGCCTTGTGTATGGTAAAAAACAAAAACGAAAAAGCCCAAAAGATTTTGCATTAGCTTCCATACTTTTTAGCAATACAGCTTTGAAACAACAAGGCAAAAATCTTTTGTTTTTTTTTGTGTGTATTTTGAGCAAGATAGTCTTTTTGGTTATTCAAAAAGTCATTTTATGATGCTCTTGTTTTGCACTTCTCTCTGCTATCCTCAACTTCTCGCCAGTCATCCGAAAATTTGACACAACATAGAGATAGGGACCCTGACTGAAACCCTCCCCCTTGTCCTTACAAAAAGAGTCTTTTTTTCTCTCTTGGTTAATGATCCTTTGGCTTTCTCAACAGCCGGAGATCAGCGAGGTTATTCTGATGGGCGGTGGCACCCGCACACCAAAAGTGCAAGAGCTGCTGCTGAAATTCCTTGGCAGGTTGGTTCTTTTGTGTTTTGCTTTTTTCTAAGTATGTTTGTTTTTTGTTTCTTATTTTGTGTGTGGATTTGATTTTTGTAAATTGGGAGAAATATCGCTGTGTAGCTTTGTATTACAGTACTCTCCAGTCTGCTGGAGTAGGTGGTTGGAGGACTCCTAAGGTTGGTCATTCTTTACTGTCTCTTGTTTTTTTTTTATCCCTGTGCTTGGGTGGCGTCTGTAACCTAGTGGTTAGGCTACAGAACTCGTTCTTGTAAGATTGCAGATTTGGGGGGGGGGGTTTGATCCTCAGCTCGGTTCGACGTTGTGTCAGTAGGAGAGACACTTTACAGGAATTTCCCATTTGGCTTGGTCCTTTCGGAGATGGACGTTAAACTCGGAGGGGGGATCTTGTGGCCTAGAGGTTAAGGTATTCGCCTCTTATTCAAAGGTCCCGAGTTCGAATCCGGGTAGCGACCGAAACATTTTCTTTTCTAAAATTGTCTCCTTTCACCTCCTTTCCTGCTCTCTAGCAATGTTCTGTCGTCTGCTTTCATCTCCACTTTCTGCCCCCATCCTCTCACCTCCTTTGCCTCATTTGGGCTCCTGACTCTTTCTGCAGCCTTTCTACTGCTGCTCCTTGGCTCCTTCTTACTGCTGTCTTTCAGCCACACCCCTGATCTTCTGGTAGGAAAGATTTACACCTTGCCTTCTCAGACAAGGGCGAAAAATCTTGGAGGTCGCGTGTGCAATTTGTGCAGTTTAAAGATCCCTTGGTGGTCCAAAATTGATGAAGAGTAGGCTTTGGCCGCAACCCGGGCAAAATTCAAAATTTTCTACCAACTGAAAATGTTTTTTGTGTCCTGCGTGCTCATATGATCGTATGCAGTTGTGAGCGCCACTCAAAGGGGAGGTCCCGCTTCTTGAATAACCTAATAGTGTTGATAGGGATGTTAAACCGATACTATGCCACCATTTTTGCTCTGTGCTTTCATCTTTAAGTCAAAACTGACTCAGTCAGTGTGCGGAAGTAGTTGTCTTGTGAATGATGATTATTGAGATCCAACTCCTATGACATAATGAGGATTTCAAAGTCTGACCAGACAGAATGGCTTCACAGAAATCATGTAATGACTGTCCCATTGTGTCTTGAAGGGTTTGGGTCGATGTTCAGACAAGCTGACTGCTTTTGGACTTTTAGAACAGATTTTGGTCTCCTTTCCTTCTTTTTCCCATCTTCCTTTTGCTTTCTTTTATATTATTCCAGGACTACGTTCCCTTCCTTCAAAATGACATTCTTATGTCTAACAGTGCATTCACCTAGTCAAAAGCAAAAGCAGAAGCAGATGTCCGTTTTAGTAGTAAATTGTTCTGTTCACTGTTTTGATCATGGACTACATGGAATAAAACATGAGAGAGAGGGAGAGGGAGAGAGAGAGAGAAGTGAGAAAAACAGAACCAAAAACTTCTGAATTTTTTCAACTGTTTCAATTAGTGGAGTGTTTCCTTTTCGGACCCCACATTTTTCACGAAAGTCGAAAGTCTTGTAATGACGATCATATTTTTATAATGCACTTTCCCACCCTACAGTCATACCTTTTTCAGAGGGACTGACTGGTCATGTGTTTTTTCCTCTTTCTCCCCCTTGAGTTTTTTTGAAATTTTAACCTTCCTGCTTATCTTCTCACTTTACTGAAGTGACTGTTCTTTTGTGGATGATGATCATTGAGATCCAACTCCTATGATATAATGAGGATTTCAAATTCTGAGCAAGTAAAATCCCCTCTTCATGTCTTAATTGCCCTGTTGCTGTTGTTGAGTTGTGAAATTGTCAATGTTCAGTTTCATTGAGCATGCCACTAAAAAATGCAAGAGGAACAAAAAACGGTAATTTCATGTATTAGTTTGAGAATTGGTTTTCTGTTCTTGTGATCTCTTCTTCATCCTTAAGTTTTAGCTACTCCTGGGTTCATAATTTCAAAGTTAGACATCAAAAGTTTTTTTTTGCGACACCATTATCATCACATGGGTGAAGAATCATTGTCCAAAAGTCGTTTTTGGGATGACACCGATTCGAGGTATCAAAATCTTGAATGACACGAATACAAATCACTGTATGGAGGGATGGCCTTATCTATATCAATTATTAGTTTCAGCTTTACTTTACAGTCTCAGTGTCGTATTGCTGGTGCTGATTTACCAGCTTTGGCATGAATGTGCTTTTGTTTAGCAGATGGTTGGAGGGTGCCACTGGTGCGTCCCCTACTTCTTTTCTTTCCCTTTATTGTTTCTATGTCTTGTTTCTTCCCTTCACTAGATGACCATTACTGATGAGTCAATGTTCTTTTCTTTACTCAAACTCAAATGCTTTTGTTCAGCTCAGATTCCAGCTGACTCAGCCCCTGTGCTGAAGCGGTTGTCTAGTGAATGATGATTATTGAGATCCAACTCCTATGACATAATGAGGATTTCAAAGTCTGACCAGACAGAATGGCTTCAGAGAAATCTTGTGATGATCACTGTCCTGGTGTGTCTTGAAGGGTTTAATTCAATCTTTCCCTTTTTTCTCACGGATCATCCATGATGGAATGTTGTGGTCATGGACTTAGAGAAGGTCGAAAATTAATTAAGAGCAGAGAAGGAAATAGACAGGCAGAATAGAAAAAGAGTGGGAGGCAGAGAGAGAGAAAGAGAGAAAGGTGGAAAAGAGAATGGGGACCAGCAGAGTTTTTCTAACCACATAAAGTGGAGTGTTGAATCTTTGGTGGCCAGTTTTTATTCTTCGAATATTGAACTTAAGAGTTGTATTCTATTACTTGTTCTTCACTCTTTCCTTTTTCTAAGTGACTGACACAGACATTTGGGCCCTATTTCTATCTCTCTCTCTCTCTCTCTCTCCCCTCTCCAGGTTTTTTAAAACTCTCCACTGCTGTCTTCTTACTCCCCTGAAAAGGTTATTGTCTTATGAATGATGATTATTGAGATCCAACTCCTATGACATAATGAGGATTTCAAAGTCTGACCAGACAGAATGGCTTCATAGAATCATGGGACCACTGTCCGTTGTGTCTGGATGAGTTTAATTTGATCTTTCCCCCTTTTCTCTTGGATCATCCATGATGGAATGTTGTGGTCACGGACTTAGAGAAGGTAGAAAATTAAGAACGGAAAGGAAAGAGAGGCAGGCAGAGAAAAAAAGAGAGGGAGGCAGAGAGAGAGAAAGAAAGAAAGGTGGAAAAGAGAATGGGGACCAGCAGAGTTTTTCTAACCACATAAAGTGGACTGTTGAATCTTTGATGACCAGTTTTTATTCTTCGAATATTGAACTTAAGAGTTGTATTCTATTACTTGTCTTTCACTTTTTCCTTTTCCTAAGTGACTGACACAGACATTTGGGTCCTGTTTCTCTCTCTCCTCTCCCCTCCCCAAGTTTTTTTAAAACTCTCCACTGCTGTCTTCTTACTCCACTGAAAAGGTTATTGTCTTATGAATGATGATTATTGAGATCCAACTCCTATGACATAATGAGGATTTCAAAGTCTGACTAGACAGAATGGCTTCATAGAATCATGTGACCACTGTCCGTTGTGTCTGGAAGGGTTTAATTCAGTCTTTCCCCCTTTTCTCACGGATCATCCATGATGGAATGTTGTGGTCACGGAATTAGAGAAGGTAGAAAATTAAGAGCGGAAAGGAAAGATAGGCAGGCAGAGAGAAAAAGAGAGGGAGGCAGAGAGAGAGAGAGAGAGAGAGAGAAAGAAAGAAAGATGGAAAAGAGCATGGGAAATGGCAGACTTTTTTTAACCACATAAAGTGGAGTGTTGAATGTGCAGTCTCGGGTGACTTCAGTTTTTTTTTCTCGAATTTCGAACTTACAATTGTATCCTAATACTTGACCTTGACTCGCTTCTTTTTCTAAGTGATTGACAGACATTTGAATCCAGTTTCTCTCTCTCCCCCGCACTCCCCTCCCGAATTTTTTTTTTTTTACTCTACTGCTGTCTTCTTACCCCACCAAAGAAGTTATTTTCTTATGAATGATGATTATTGAGATCCAACTCCTATGACATAATGAGGATTTCAAAGTCTGACCAGACAGAATAGCTTCAGAGAAATTGTTTGATGACGACTGTCTGGAAGGGTTTAGTCTAATTCAATCTTCCCCTTTTTTCAAACTGATCTTCCATTTTAGAATGTTGGTGTCAACGGGACTTAAAAAGAAGGTAGAAAATAACTCCTGGAACATAATGAGGATTTCAAAGTCTGAACAAGCTAGATCTCTTGTTGTGGATTTTACCAGTTGTTTTAGGGATAGTGTTCTGTGAAGTTAAAATTTTTCAGTCAGCACACTGACTGAGCCAGTTGGAATCTTGAGCTGAACAAAAACATTTGTGTGTGAGTAAAGAGAAGCACATTGACACAATAATAGTCATAGACAAGAACAGTAGAGGGAACGAAAAGAAATAGACTGACCAGTGCTTTGAATTTTGTGTATCGGAGTTGCCTCAAATTTGTTATTATTTAAAGATCATAGATTTTGAATTTGATTTTTAAAGTTTTGTCTTATGCTGTGATGTTGCTGTTTCATTATCATGTTTCCTTTGCTAGCTCCCTTCTTGTCTTACTTTCCCCCCCCTGAACTAAATGAATTTTTTCATTTATTTAAAATTTGTTTCTCATTCCCTCTTAGGTTTCATTTTCTTTCATTTTTTTGTGGATCGTTGATGGGCGCTCTGGTGTAGTTTGCTCCTTCTTGCCTATTAAATAATTATAACTTATGCGGTTGTGAGCGCTGCAAAAAATCTATAATCATTATCTCTTCTTCTATTATTTGCTGTGCGGGTGGTTGAAGGGCGCCACTGGTAGGTCTTACTTCTTTACTTTCCCTCTGTTGTTTCTGTCTGTCTTTCTTTTTCCCCAGCACTAAATGGCCTCTATTGTGTTGATGTGCTTTTCTTTACTCACACAAATGAAAAAAAATCTGTTCTTTGGCTCTCTTGAAACACCTCTAATCTTCAGCCGTTTTTTTTTACCTACTTCTTTACTTTCCCTCTGTTTGTCTGTCTAACATTTTCCCCAGCACTAAATGACCGCAATTGTGTCGATGTGCTTCTCTTTACTCAAACAAACAAACAAACAAACAAATTATTACCTGTTTTTTGTGTTGCAAATGCCTTGACACTCTTACTAAAGCTTATAAACTTTCTTTTTCCCTCTTTGTCTCCAACAGATCTGAACTGGGCAAGAGCATCAACACAGATGAGGCCGCAGCCCTGGGGGCGGTCTACCAAGCTGCTTACCTGGGCAAAGGCTTCAAGGTCAAGAAGTTTGGTGTCAGAGAGGGGAACATCTACCCCATCAATGTGAGTACTGACTTTGTTAGATGGTTGCTGCCTAGAGATAGACGGGGAGGAGTGTGTGTGTTTGTGTGTGTGTGTTTGTGTGTGTGTGTGTGTGTGGGGGGGGGTGCTGTGTGGGTGTGGTTTTGTGTGGGTGTGTGTGTGTTTGTTACTCTCTTCAGCACTTATACGACCTTATTGTGTTGCAAGTGTTGTAAAAACGCTTATTAAAACAAGCTTTGTCTAGTCATGTTATGGGCTGGCTTCCTGAGTTTGTGAGTGTGTCCAATAAAAAGAACCAAGTTACTCACGTGCTGTATTTCATTCTATGTTCATTGTGTCCCCTTCTCACAGGTTGAGTTTGAGAAGCAGAAGACAGAGGAGAGTGGTGAGAAGAGCAAGGTGATCAAGCGCACCCTGTTTGGCCGCATGAACCCGTTCCCCCAGAAGAAAGTGATGACCTTCAACAAGCACACCAAGGACTTCCATTTTGACGTCCTCTACAGCAGCCTCGACTTCCTTTCTGAGGCCGACAAAGGGTGGGTTTTGCCACGGAGATGTTGCTTCAACAGTTACAGTACCGTCGGCGACTTTATTCACCAGGCCGCAGTATGCGCTCACTACCCCTGGTGACTTTAATCGCCAAAATAACCAGGCTCACAAAACATAAATAAACAATGAATGGACGCACTGTACTGAAGTAAATAGCAAAGGAAGTCACTCTATATGATTGGTGAATGGTTGATGAACCTCTATGAATTTTTAAAGCGTGTTTCTTGGGCTACCAAGGTTTTTTTTAATTCAAAGAAAAAAATCTACCATGGCTTCAGCATTCTATACTGGTGTGGTACTTGAGGGTTTTTCACTATATGAGCCAGCGGTACTGTGTTAAGACAGGGTGGTGGTTGCTAAGTATTTAGAATTTCGTGCGGCTGTCTCTCATCCTACTTGTCTGTTCGTGTCTCATAAGTTTGCCTTTGTTCTGTTGACCTCTGGTGAAAAGGTTGCCCCTGATGGGCAGGACAGTAGCAGCCATCTTCCTGAATGATTTTAATCCAACAAACCTGTGACACGGATATATTGGTGTGCGAGTTATACGCCCCCTCCCAGAAGCACCGATATATCGGTGTCTGCTAGTCTACCATAGAACAGTAGTCCAGTCCATACACGGGTAAAAAGGGGAAAAAATGATGTCATAAAGACTTGTAGGTTTGTGGTAACTACTGTAAAGGTCAAGGCAGCTCAAAGAAGAGGGAATTGGTGTGTGTGTGTGTGTGTGTGTGCGCGCGTGTTGGGGGGGCATTTTTACTCAGGAAGCCAGGGGATGTGTTATTTTGGGTTCTGGATGTCGGGGCTCATTGGGTTAAAGATGTGGATGAAGCTGTTACTTGTTGGTAACGATTTTTGTTATTATTTCAGTTTGAAGGAATTTTGGTGTTTCTTGGAAAAAATTGTATTGGCCTGCCTAGTCTAAAGTTGGTTTAATAATCCCCCTCCCTCTCCAAACACAAAAACCCACCCCTTCCTCCCCTTTTTCCTCCTTCCCCCTCCTCCTTCCCC